TCGTATAGGGGTGCCGCTGTGCTGCACGGAAGCTGACCGCCTGATAACCTCTTTAGGCAAAGTGGAAAAAAAATGTACAGACATCTCCGGTGAGCACCACACTGCCACGCAGGTCCCCTGGAGGAAAGCCAGGGGCAATCTATAATTCATACGGCTCCGTGTAGGATCAACCCGAGCTTTGTGTAAAGCATGAAGAAAAGTCTGTGACGTTCAATAGGGGTAGATCAGCCTGCACCCCTGTAGGAGTCCTCCAAAAGTGCTTTAGAGAGTCTTCAGAGTGTGTGCGGCCTGAGTGGCCCTGAGATCAAGAGTGTTTGTGTGTGGAAGTGCTGTTGAGGGCACAGCTGAGGTTTAAGGCTGCACTGTACTCAAAACAAACAACACTCTTGTGCTCTCGTAAGGACATGTTAAATGGGCTCTTGAAAAGGAAAAGATACTCTTTGAGGAATATGCTGCACTCTTAAGGAGCAACCAGCCAGAACGTTTAATTTTAGAATAAATAAAGGCTGTGATTAGATTTTTTTTTTAACCCAGGCAATCCTAAAAAAGTTTTTTTCTCCTTAAAGGAACACCTCACCCCCTAAATGATCATTTGCATGTCAGTTACTCACCCTGTGTTACGGTGAACTCATGAAGAAGACTTTGATTTTCCCGCATGCCTCATCTGCTTATAAACTGTCACACAACTTGTGCAGCATAATCCAAGTCTCATTTATCCAGTGTATGCTCAGCACTTCCCAAACAGACAGTGCTTTCTGACAGGGAAATGAACATAAAGTGAAACTCCATTGAGAAAAACAGCAATTTTACCTCACTCAACACAGGAGCTGCTGGTCTACCACTGCCTCAATCAATCAGTTAGTTTATGCTGTCGTGTGACTTCTGTGTTTTAAGGGGTTAGTTTGGATTCGCCGGAGTAGTTACACAATAATGCAAACAAACCAACAGATTGAGGCTAGGGATGTGAGTTTGCTTTCAACAGCCAGACACCTATTAACCGGTTACTAACTGGTTACCCTCTTTGTACTTGCTGAGCTTTAGCGCCGCTTTCAAGGCGATATGAATTTAGAGGTGTTTTGTGCTGTAAATGTCTTGCCTTTTAGTTTCTGTTGGCTCTGCTGACACACAGTCGGCTAGTCACATTAACGTGTGGAAAGATGGTGTCCACTGCCCACCTCCATTCTTCACTGGTTAGCGAACGTTAGCCTTGGACAGTGTTGCTGCTCTGATCATGATGGCCACCCCTTGGTCCCCCTCTGGGGTGCCACGTTGAGTAAGCGGCTTCATTTCAAGATGCAAACCCCTTTTAGTATGGTTAACTATGTTAGCACCACAAACCATGCTGACACTGCTAATGGTGCTAACAGAACATAGTTAACAATGCTAAAGGGGAGTTGCGGTTCAAAATTAAGCAGCTTACTTACTGAGGCAAGCTGGAAGGAGACCGGAGGGTGGTCACAATGTTTCTTAGCAACGCTGTTGGGTTGGAACAGCATTACTAGCAGTAATTGTGGAAGGAGCAGTGCTGCTAGCTAAGTTAGCTCAGTGAGATAAAATAACTGTTTTTGTCAGTGGAGTATGACTTTGAAGAGAGCACAGATAAGTTTCACTGTCAGTTCAGTTTTAAAAGTAAGTTTCAATGCAACTTTACTTCCTGAGTATGAAAATAAGAATTTATGACAAAAAAAGTTTTAAACAGTATTAGCATTTTAGCAAAAAATGCATGTGATTGGGAAGTACTGAGCATATGACTAGATAAATGAGACTTAGATTATACTGCATGAGTTTTGTTTACACGGATGTTATGATATAGTTTTGCTGTTGGTAAATGTGGACCCCTATGACCTTTCTCAAAAAAGTCTTCCTCCTGAATTTAATGTAACACGAGATGAGTATTTTTATTTACAAATGGTCATTTGAGGGCTGAAGTGTCCCTTTAAATATTCTTTGAAAAGGCCATTTTTTCCCTCTGATATCTCGTTACAATCTCGTGCAGTCCCTCATTCCGTTGGTCCCCACTGAAAAATCCCCAAACCATCACTTCCTGTTGTAAATCTAAATCGAGGAGGCAAACAGGGCTCCTTGCACACGGAGAAAAGCAGTGTATGAAACAGCCATGCATGGCCTTGAGTGAGTCATCTAATGTAGGGGGGGAGTGCCTCCACACACACACACACACACACACACACACACACACACCCACATACAGAGAGCCACTAAGCCACAGCCTCCACGACTTTCAACAAAACATCTATTCTAAGTCTCTTTCAAGTTGCGAGCGGTCGTCCAATTTTGGGGAAGCGAACTGGAAGAAGAAACGTCAGACCGCCCCTTCTTTTGCAATCACAAGTAAAAATGTTTTGGGAAGAGGATCTTGGGGAAATGTTTGTCATAACGGAAGCTGGGCTAATATGGCATCCACTGTGCACACTGAGGCTTCTCGTCTACATATGGTTGTCATTGTTGGATTTGCAGCAGAGGCATGGGAAATGAAGAACAAACGCATGCGAATGTACAATCATATATTTGTAGTTCTGCGGCCAGGATGTGCTGTGATTAGCCTGATTGGGTCAAAATCGTTGCTTAAAGTAGAATACCACACAAACTTTGTAAAAAAAAATATGATCTGTCACTCAGTTATTTGTCAAAAAATCATCAATGCTTCAAAACGCCAGATGTGGCAGTCTAATAAGGCAGGTGCTCTTTATTACACAAAGAACGCCCTGTTCCCATGAAGGGAACAGGTGAGCCTCTTCTTGGAGGCTTGTTTCTTCAGTCTTGTCTTGAAGTTGATTGATTTTGTGTCGTAGATTTGTAGTTATCATGTTCAGACACACCCAAGAGAGAACTCAGAAAATAAGGAACATGGGAGGAAACTGTCCATCTAGAAAAACTCTCTAGGGTGGTTCCTTTAAAGGGCAAGTTCACTATTTTTTAACCTGTCCCCTATTTTCCCATGTTTTTGTGTCTGAGTGACTAATGGGAACAACATTTTTTTGAAATTGGTCCAGTATCGAGTGAGAGTGCTGCAGCCGGCAGCCATGAAACGGGCTGCAGTGTAACCAGTGTGGGCATGTTCGCACCGTCAGTGTACATCCACTAAAAGTGCTTGTATTTGCCACTGATGGGCTCTGATTATGATTTTAAGGGTCTAACGCCATGATGGAAAGGTTCCCTACAGAGATAGACCTTTTTGTTAAACAGTAAGATCCTTTTAGTTTAACCAGAAACATCCCTGAAATCCCCATCGCCAGTTCCACCAGACTCCTTTTAAATAAACAGTAATTTTAGTGTGTATAGAGCCAGCATATTTTCACATCTAACTGGGTGAATTAGGAGTTTATTTCAACCAAACCAGAGTTGGTGATTGTTGGAGCAGTGGAGCAACAAATCAAGACAGTTTTTTGGAGGTTTATTTTGTTTCTGTCGACTTTGAATGAAGTGTGTTTTACATTAATAAAATTGCTGTTAATTTGTATGGAGTCTGGTGGGTTTGACAATGGGACTTTTAATGCTCTTTCTGGTTAAACAAAAAGGATCTTACTCTTTAATGAAATGGTGTATCTCTGTAGGGATCCTTTCAATAATGTTTGACACTTACATTGATAAATTGAGCCCGTCAGTGACAAATTACCGTTTATTTAAATGGGGTTTGTTTCTTGACAGTAACGATTTTGGACTCTTTCTGGTTAAATAAAAAGGGTTTTACTTCGTAACAAAAAGGTGTATCTCTGTAAGGATCATTTCCATAATGTTGTCAGACACTTCTAATAACAATCTGAGCCTATCAGTGGCAAAAACAAGCACTTTCAGTGGACGTAAAGTGATTACATTACCATTACATTTCGCTGCTGAAAATACTGAACCAACTTCAAAAATTGTTGTTCCCATTAGTCACTGAGACACAAAAACATGGGAAAATAGGGTCGAGGTTGAAAAATACCGAACACGCCCGTTAAGAAGAATAGGAATCCACCCTAAAACATGACTCATATTATGGTATTCCTATAATCCCAAGCTTTTTAGTCAGCAGATGTGAGGTCCCTTGTGGCTGCAAATTAAAGGGCTTAGAGGTAAATCTGTGATATATTCAGACGCAGTGTCAATAGCTGCTGACAATGAGCTGCACAGCACGATAGAATTAAGGTAATTTTCTGGGTTCCTGCCTCAGATCTGTGAACAATAAGGTGACTTAAAACTCCAAACAGGCAGCTAAATGTTGTAGTAAGTAAGTCCTGGGCCTTTGTTTTTCCCCCGCCAGCTCAGGATCAGATCTCACCAAGAGCTTTCTCTCCTGTTTTTCCTCGCCTCAGTAATTCCCTACTGTCTGAATACAGAAACACAAAGCGTGAATGGACTGCCTGTACTCAGGCTAAAAGACACTGGATTTTATTAGTTTACAAAGCCAGTTTATTGTCTGTGGAGCAGCTCCAGAAAGTGGCTCTTGAGGATCTTATTGAGTACTTTGCTCTCAGGTTTCAGGCCATCTATTGGCATTGTTTGCTTTGGTTTTGGAGAAGATTCACTTGTTAAGCATTTTCCAAGTTGCTTCACTTTTCCACAACGCTTGCTTTTCTTTCGTAGTCATCACTCATCGTGCGGGGCTTCAGTTGTCAACGGTTTCATTTTTCCACACCGGTATGCGTGCTTGTGTGTGTCAGGGTGTCTGATGACAAATGAGACCCCAGGTATGGAGCCTGCAGGTACAGTGAGCAGGTCTCACAAGCTCATTCATGTTGAACTCAAATCTGGTTTAAAAATCAGTGAAAAGCTCAATATCAGCAGAGCTTGCCCTCCACTAACAGGTAAATAGTGGTGGTTTCACCTGGTGTTCTCTTTGTTCACAGATGCATGAAGGTCACGTCAGTGCTTTGTTGGAGCCAGTGTTCCTCATAAATCTCTTCCAAAACACTTACCTCTCTGTTTTTCCTATCCAGTCATATCCTCCTCTTTTCACTCCAACAACCTTTTTAATCTCTTTCTCTTTTCTGTCTCTGTAGGTAAGAACCCCACCGACAGCGGGGAAGGTGGGGACTACGGCGTGCCCAATCCCGGACCTGCATTCAAAGAGGTGTGGCAGGTAAAGGTATGGCCCAAAGGCCTTGGTCAAGCCAAGAACTTGGTGGGCATCTACCGCCTTTGCCTGACCGACAAGACGGTCAACTTTGTCAAGCTCAACTCTGATGCCGCCGCTGTGGTGCTGCAGCTGATGAACGTCAGACGCTGTGGCCATTCAGAGAACTTCTTCTTCGTCGAGGTGGGGCGTTCTGCTGTGACAGGCCCGGGCGAGTTCTGGATGCAGGTTAGTCTGTAATCAGCAGCCCCCTTTATGCTGAGAGTTGCACCCCTCACATATATGTAAAGGGCCTATAATCAGCAGATACAGAGAACCTGTAAAGTTACTTAACTTTACGGTTAGAGTTCATGTAACCCTTCGTTATGGTCTAATTTATAAAGGTTGTTGCTTGACCATAACTTAAAGGGATAGTTTGGATCTTTTGAAGTGGGTTTGTGTGAGGTACTTATCCACGGTCAGTGTATTAGGTACAGTAGATGTCAGATGACTCGCCCCCAGTTTGTCCCATTAACGGCTACAGTTCCCGTCTTTGGTCTTGTCAAAGCCACCAGACTTCATTGACAAAAACAGTAACAGCTGACAGCGAACTGAAGCTGTTACATTGCTCTCGTCAAAGCCAGACTCTAATTTAACATCGCTTAACACAGAGGCTGCCGATCTACCACTGTCTTGAACACTTAGTTTGTGTTATTGTGTGACTTTGGTGAACCCAAACTAACCCTTTTAAACACCAAAGTCACACAATAACACAAACAAAGTAAATGAGCAAGGCAGCAGTAAACCAGCAGATTCTGTGTTCAGTGATGTTAAATCAATATTTTTCTCAGTGGAGTCTGGTGGCTTTGAAAGGAGTGATATAACAGCTTCAAATAAAGCGGTGAAAATATTCTTAATGTTGCGTACACTTAAAATGACATTGATTTTGAGGTGACTAAAATATGTTTTGTCCACTGCAGAATTTTGCTTAGCTTCTGTATCGGTACTCCTGCCTGCTTCTCCAAACTGGGGATGTGCTGACTACCATCTGCTGTATGTAATACACCGACTGTGGATAAGTACCTCATCCAATACCACTTCAAAAGATCCATGCTATCCCTTAAAGGTGGAAATGAAAGGCGGTGGACACACTATACTTTGTGCCTTTAGTGCCGAAACATGAGATTTAAAAAGTCAACCCAACTTTTAACTACACTAAACTTAACTTAAATGGATCCCAGAAGGCATTCAAATGAAAGAAAAAGAACCTGTATTTTATCTGTTCTGACTTAAAAAAATACTCCTTAAATACAAATTTATTGAAATGAAACCTGGTTTTAAATGAGAATCTGAAATTGAAAGAATATTCACTTCAGATTCTCTCAGGGGTTTGATTTGTAACTAATAATCAATTCACAAATTAAGTTGTTATCTACCAGAGTTATGATTTGAGTTCACTGTTTGAGAGGGTTTCTGTGTCATGTCTTAGGTGGATGACTCGGTGGTGGCGCAGAACATGCATGAAACGTTGCTAGAGGCCATGAAAGCTTTGAGCGAGGAGTTCCGCCAGCGCAGCAAGTCTCAGTCAAACTCCGGCCCTGGAGGAGGTGCTACTGCTTCAAACCCCATCAGTGTTCCCTCACGCCGCCATCACCCCAACCCTCCTCCCAGCCAGGTGGGCTTCACCCGCCGGCCCCGAACTGAGCCTCCTGGAGGAGCTAACGGTGGAGCAGGGGTCAGCAGCGCCAATGCTTCTCCCACCCCCCGGCACAGCTTCCCAAGGTCTCGCACTGCCAGCGATGGGGGGAAAGGGGAGGATGGGGTCGCAGGGACAACTCCGCTCCAAGGGCCGTGCTCCAGCCCCTCCACCAACGGCTCCTGCTCTACCACCCCAATCCTCAGGTCTAAATCTGCCCGATCGGCCCCCACAACCGCTGCTAAAACTCCTCTTGGGTTGATGCGCTCCATCTCCACCCCTGCGCCCTCCCCAGCCCCGAGCCTCTCCTCCAGCTCTGGGCATGGCTCTGAGTTTGGAGGCGTGACATCTGCTAGTGCTGGTCCAGGGTCTGGAGCTTACAGCCGTGTCCCCTCTCATCGCGCCTCTGTATCGGGCTCACCCAGTGACTATGGCTCCTCTGATGAGTATGGCTCTAGTCCTGGGGATCACACGCTGCTCCCCTCGCCGAGCCTCCCCGGAAGCTCTGTTGGTAGCACCGGCAGCCAGTCGCTCAGCGAGGAGGGAGCCAACTACATCCTGATGGGCCAACGTGGCGGTGGTGGTGGAGGTGGCGGTGGTAGCAGCAGCAACCAAGGGAGCTTGACAACCGGCTCCCTGCCAGCGCCGGGAACACCATCCTGTGGCTCCCAGCCTCAAACCAGGAGAGTGCTGCGCCGTTCCTCCAGCCGCGAATGTGAAGCTGAGCGTAGGCTACTCAGCAAGCGGGCTTCATTACCTCCGATGGCCCTGGAGCGGCTGGCCCCACATCAGCGCAGAGCTGAGGAGCCAGCAGATGAAGATTCAGCTGATTACGCCATCATGTCCAGGAGTACCAGTCGCGAGTCGTTCGCTTCCACCTCCTCTTCCACACAGAGAGAATCTGTCATGAGTGCTGGGTCAGCAGGGGGGGGAGGAGGAGGAGGAGGGTACTTAGATGTGGCGGGTGAGTTTAAAAGTGAAGGAGGTGGAGGAACAAGCGGTAGTGTAGATATAGGTGTGGACAATGGGTACATGTCCATGCTGCCTGGCGTCACTCAGCCTCCAGTGTCCCTATCCCAGTCATTGGCTGTCTCCGTCCCAGACTCAGACTCCAAACCTGCTGACGACTACATGGCCATGACCCCTAACAACAGCGTGTCCCCGCCACAGCAGATCCACCCTCCGCCAGTGTCTGATGGCTACATGATAATGTCACCCAACAGCAGCTGCTCCCCCGACCAGCGTGGAGGTCTCTCTGGAGGGGCGTGGGTGGGCAGCGGCAGTGCAGACAGCAGAGCGGGCAGTGACTACATGAACATGTCTCCAATCAGTGCACGTTCTGTGAACGGCAGCCCCCCACCTCCTGAGCACGCTGGTCACTTGGAGACTTCTCAACAGCAAGCGCCCAAAATGGTGTACTCTTACTATTCCCTTCCCCGTTCTTACAAACATAACCCCTCTGCAGGACACTTTGATGATGGACCTGGACGAGGCAGAAGGCCCAATGGGAGTTGCAGTAGGGGAATGGGTGGAGGTCGGATAATGGGAGGGCGTCAGGAGCAAACAGCAACTGGGAGTTCAGCAGTCGGGCGCCACCTGTCACTCTCCTCTTCCTCATACTCGTCCAGCTCAGCCAGCAGTGAGAGCCTCGGGGAGAGTGAGGACCGAGCTACCCAGGCGGTGAGCACCACGGCCGGGGGAGCTCCGTCCAAAGATGGGAGCAAGCTCCAGCAGAGACGGGGCTCTGGTGGATTGTCCAAGCAGGGGAGTAGGAACAGACCAGTGAGCCTGTTTGTTGACGTATCCAAGGCTAACACCCTTCCCCGGGTCCGTGAGAACCCCCTGCCCCCAGAACCTAAGAGCCCAGGGGAGTATGTAAGCATTGAGTTTAAGGGGGAGAAGAGCAGCCAGGCTGGGGTTGGAGGAGGGCGCGGCAGGGGTCTCAGGCATGGCTTATCACTGCCTCATGGCTCAAGCAGCAAGCATCCTCAACACAGGCCAACTTCTTGCTTAGGGAACTTTATCCCCCTGTCCCGGAGCCCCTCTGCCCCCATCACTCCCCCAGCTGCCTCTGAGTATGTCAACATGGACTTGGGCCCTTCTCCGTCCCCCTCACCCCTCTCCCTTACTCCACTAGTTTTCCCCTCTTTCCACACCCCTCCCACGCCACCGACTCTTGCTCACGTCCCCAAAACCTGCGATGAAGGTACGACTAGCCCTCGTGAAGAGGGGGCTGAAGTGGCGGAGGCCCCGCTTAGGAAAAGCAGAGAAAGTGTCCCATCTGTGTCCGAGTCCCCAACATCCTGCGGAGACTACACGGAGATGGCCTTCAGCTTGAATAGCAACACCGTCCCCAGGTCGTCATCCAGCGTCTCCCCAAAAGCCCCTTCCCCCACCAGGACTGATCCCTCCGTTCCAGTGCTGTCACGCGGTCTAGAATTCCCCCTCACCAAACCCGGACCCAACCCCGACCATGGGGCTAAGGTTATCCGCGCCGACCCCCAAGGACGCAGACGGCACTGCTCTGAAACCTTCCTCGCCTCGCCTTCCCTCCCCACTTCTACCTCTACCTCTACCTCCTCTTCCTCCACCGCCTCCCTCTTTCCAGAGCACGCCCAAGCTGTGGCCCGCCGACTGGGCTTTGATAACATGCTGCGGGGGAACGGCGCCATGAGTGATACGCCCACTCAGTTTGCCCTCCCTGGACAGCAGCCCCTTCCCACAAACACTCAGACTTCGTCCACAGAGCAAGGCCTTAACTACATAGACTTGGACTTGGCCAACAAAGAGGGCCCCCATTTGGGTCTGGACGGACCCTCAGGTAGCCAGGCCCCTTCTCGCCTCTTCTGTGTACTTGGTGGAGGATCTGGGGTCGGGGGAGTGAACGCGCCAGTCGGCAGCAGCAGCAGCAACTCCAGCCTCAACACTTACGCCAGCATCGACTTCTACAAGTCAGAGGAGCTGCGGACGCATCAGAATGGAAACAAGGAGGGAACAGGTAAGAGTTTAATCTCTAAAAAACATTTATCAGACTGTGTTTAGCGTTGTGTCTCTTTAGCTTTGCCTTAACAAACACACTTTGATCTCTCTTTCTCTTCCTACTTGTGCTTCATGACATTTTTCAGATAAAAAAGAAAACTCTTTAAAGATAATCCAATGGAGCACAGCCTCCCCGTCCGTCTATGCTTGTAATCAAACTTCACCTGGCGCCAGATTAGGATGTGGACACCAGTCTGATTTGTTTGACTGTCTGCATAATCCACAGTATGAGATACAGACCAGCTTCTGTGACTATCCATAATAGAATCGAAAGCCTTTATTGTCAATGTACAGAATACAACAAAATTAGGAACGATATTCCTGATCAGTGTTTTAAAAACACAGGATGACACCACAGAAGCAACCTCAGCAAACAAACAATCACAACAACAACACAGGTTCTGCGAAATAAATACGAGTGTTTGTTGCATTAGAATAACAGTAGTAATTGCAGTAGTATGAATGTAATTATCGCATGAATAGATTTCCTTCTCTGGGGCTTGGCTGTACTTCTAAAGGCATATACTTGTTACCTGATGTGAAGGTGCTCAGGGCCAGACAACCTATTGGAATATCACTGAATGTCAATATTCTGTAAATGACTATTGATCACCTCAAAGCTTTCTCTTGGTGTTTGGGTACAGATACAGGAGACGTTTGTTATACTTACAGGGTTCAATGTGAATGTTTTTTTTTTTTCTTCCTATGCCTGTGGGTCAGAAATCTACTCAAAGTCACTCATTTACTGCTGTACCTGACTCAGAATTATGTGCATTGAATTAGATTCGGGAATTTAATATTAATATATTTATATAGATATGATATTCGTCAATTCTTTTTTTAAAAATATATATAAGGTTTTAAAGTTTGAATAGGGCTCAGTGAGACGTTTAGTGTGACATCGTGATATAGTAAACATCCTAATGGTGCTAATGATGGATCAGAAATGTGCAGCAACATTTTTTGCCGATAGATAGATATTGAACAAAAGCCAGAGACTGTTTCGTACGGAGTGTCTGTGAGCTATAAATTGGCCAAGCAGAAGAGAGAAGATAATTTAATCTCGGAGCCTTATGGAGAAAAGCTTCTCCTCCCCTGTGCTGCTACTTCACCTCTGCAGCTGACTGTACCAAAGAGTAGCGTGGAAGTCAAGAGCACTCACTCTGGGGATCAAAATGTCCCCAGAAGTACAAGGCTTGACTTGGAGTGATGTCAGTCAACTGAGGGCTCTCCAACTGACACTTTGAATCTCAAACTTTCAAGGGGCAACCCTAGCAAAATGGTGCGCAGAGTCTTAGCATAGTGTCTTTTTAATACACATGCATTGTTGGCTGACTTACAGTCGGGGTAAGGTTAGCTGTTATCCCCATGACCTGACTGGGATGATGACGAGTCAGGTGGCTTTGCATGTTCGTTGTGTCGTCCGTGTGCTTCACTTTAACTTGACAGTTCTTGCTTATTGTATGGTCTTGAGCTGAAGTGGGCCCAGACTTGAGACTTGAAAGATGATGGTGCCTCTCAGATATGTTTTCCCCTCACTGTCTGACTCCGTCTGTCCACCATTTCCCACCTGTGAGTTTCTTCTTCACTGCTAGTAAGTTAACTAGCGTTCACTTTACCCTGACTCATTTGATAAGCGCCACCACAAGGTGACATAAGGTAGTGAACTTTAGTGGCAGTGGAACCTTGAAGGGCACCTGCATAGTTTGATAAAAATATGCAATATATCCTCTTGTCCGATCTGGCATGTGGGTTGCTAGATTTACTAGCCCGACATGGCATTTTACTTGCCCTGGTCAATCCTTATCATTGAGCCCTGTGCGTATATGACATGGGCAGAATCCTTCTGCTCCGGATGAGCCATTGTTACCCAAATAAGAGAGCTGTCGCAAACAACTCCCCACAGACCTACTCTTACTTAAAGGAAGCCATTCAGACCTACCGTTGAAGCGTTCTACCACAAGTTCAGTAATGTTGAACTTTGACCCTGTTTTCCACTGACCTGTCAACCTGAGTGAGCAGAAGGAAGCAATGGAGGAGAAGAATAATTCTCCCATAAATGACATTTATTTTATGTTGTTTTATGAGATTTCACAACCCTACAGCTTTAAAATGATGACGACGTCATGAAGGAGAGTATGTATTCAAGTGGGGTTGCCAGGTTTGTAAATGTTGTTATATGAATATTATTTACTATGATTTGTACATTGCTTAATCCAAGCAGAAAGCTGTGGTTTAGTTTGGCCTTCTACTGGGCTTCCACCCCCCCCCCACCCCCACCCCCCGTGGTTGCATATTAGAGTGCATCCACAAAAATCTACTTTTTTTGTAAGGAAGAGAGGTCAGTGAGGCCAGATGATGAATTTTCATTGTATTTATGTATTTTTCCTACTGTGTGGGGCAATCCTTGAGCTGTGGGGGACCACCGCAGCTAAACAATGCCTCAACTAGGTCACTGTGAGACGTTTCCTCATAGAAAAACATTCTCTTTGAGCCACTGTCTGCACCAAATTGGCCCGTTAAGAAATAGACGCCTGCAGTTTAAGCAGATAGAGCAGCATTTAAATGGAGATGTGGATTTATGTGCATCAGTAAAACACTCAGTCGTCTTACTAAACCTTCCACAGTGGGGCTCTTGTGATGAATGCATCCTGCCAAGCCTTGTTGTTTATGTAGCCCTGCTAGCTTCCACATGATTTGTGCCGAAGGTTGTGTCAGACTTAAACCTCATGGGTTTCTGTGGTAAACTTCTCATAGCCCGGCTCCACAGTTGGATTTAATGAAGAATTTTGAGGCATTAGCAAAAATTCATCATGGGATCTTGTGGTGAGTGAAGCACGGCTGAGCTCAACAGTTGGTTTTTTATATTCCTCAAATGGAAATGAGCCATCAGGCTGCATCCATACGTTGCCTGCCGTGTTGGTTTTACTGGGAAGTGGAGGCCGTGCTGGTGAAAGCAGGCCGTTTATTTTAAAGGGCGCCTATTATGCTAATTTTCAAGTTCATACTTGTATTTAAGGTTTCTACCAAAACATACTTACTTAATTTAGTATTAGAAAAACACCTTATTTTCCTCACTCTGTCTGAGCTGAACACCTGTATTAACAACCCTCCTTTTTGGCGCCTGTTTCTTTAACCCCTCCTCCTAAAAAAGCCAAGTTTGCTCTGATAGATCATTCCAGAACGTGTATCTGGGCAACACTGCACTGTCTTTGCAGCTGGAATATGATCTGAAATTGGGGAGAACTTAACAACATCAGCAACCAAGATTACATGTTTCCCTGACATTAGCATGTAGCTACATGTATGTTAGCAGTGGACAGCCAAGGAATGACTGTAACGGAGAATAACAGCTTTTCCTACCGTTAATATCTCCAATAAAATCTTCTAAACACATTTGGAAATGTTCCATCAGGAATATGATCCAAAACCGTGGAGAAATTTACAACCTCAGCTACCAAGTAACATGTTTCCCTGATGTTAGCATGTAACTACATGTAGCAGTGAACTTGCAGCCAGGGGATGACTGTCATTTTTTACCGTAAAAAAATCACCAATAAAAGGTTCTAGACACAACCAGACATGTTCCAGCAACGATATGACCCAAACTCAGGGAGAAATCAACATCAGGTAGTAAGATTACATGTTTCCCTGACATTAGTATATAGCTACATAAGTAGTAGCAGTGAACTTGCAGTTGGGGAATGACTGCAACAAAGAATAGCAGTGTTTTCTACTGTTAAAAATCACCAATAAAAGCTTCACAACCTGTTGTGTTCCAACAGGGATATTATCCAAAATCAGGGTGAAATAAACAACATCAGCAACCAAGATTTCATCTATCTCTGATGTTAGCATGTAGCTAAATGTAGCAGTGTACTTGCAGCTAGGGAATAACTGTTATGAAGAACAGTGGCACTTTCTATTGTGGAAAAATCACAAGTGAAAGCTTTTAAACACAACCTGACAAGTTCCAGTGGGAATATGATCCAAAATTGTGGATAAATTAACAACATCAGCAACCAAAATTACTTGTTTCCCTGATATTAGCATGTAGCTACATGTAGCAGTGTACTTGCAGCCAGGGGATGACTGTAATGGAGCATTAAGTCATTTACGGTTGAAAAATTACCAATAGAAGCTTCTATACCAAAACCTCCGCAACTGAAAACATGTTCCAGCAGGACTAATTGAAATTAATAACAGTAGTCCAGATTACATGTTTCCCTGATGTTAATATGTAGCTACATGTACATTAGAAGCTTACTTTTAACAGAATAGCCGCACTTTATATATCCTAAAAAAAAATCACCAAATCACCAATAAAACATTCTAAACACAACTGGACATGTTGCAGCAGGAATATGACCTGAAATAGGAGAAAAATTGACAACATCTGCAACCAAAATTACATATTTCCCTCATGTTAGCATGTAGCTACATGTGTGCTGGCAGGGTACTTGCAGCCAGGGAGTTACTGCAGTGGAGAATAGAGGCAATACCTACCATGAATAACCACAAAGAAGAGCTTCTGAACACAACAGGACAAGTTCCAGTAGGGATATTATCTGAAATTGGGAACAAATTACATTTGAAACCAAAATGACTTGTTCCCTGATGTTAGCATGGAGCTACATGTAAACTAGCAGTGTACTTGCAGCTGGAGAGTGACTGTAGTGGAGAGTAGGAGAAATATTTTTAATGTGAATAATCATCAATAAAAGCTTCCAAACCAAATATAACTGGATATGTTCCAGCAGGAATATGATCTGAAACTGGGGCGAAATTAACAATAGCAGTAACCAAGTTTACATGTTTCCCTGACGTCAGCATGTTGCTTCATTTAGCGGTGTAGGCTACGTAATACAAAACACTTCCAGTAGCATGCCTGGAGCAGATGACCCTATAAAGAAATCTGGCATGCTAAGACGTCATACTGCAGCCAGAGTAGAAACAATC